CCCTTCATAATGACCTGGAGAACGGCAAAGTCAAACGTAAGCCTGAATGGCCAAACTTGACAATTATAGGAAAGGATCATCTAGGTTTCTCACCTACGGTCGCGGAGAAGTTAGAGTAGGCAGAATCATTGGTATAAACAAAAGTAGAATTATGGTAATGAAGCACAGTGAAGCTGTGGGATCTGAGCACTGCATGGGAGAAGAAAGAAAACAAACAACAATGGAATGGACAAGCAACACCATGAATATATGCAAGATGGATATGAATCGACCAGACCATGTCTCTCAATCGACATAATTGCAAAGAACCCACTGAGAGTTTGAGTCATCCTACAGCTTTTTAACCTCCTCCCAATCTTCAGTAATAATATGATAGGAAAGACACTTCCTGAAATATATATGTCTTACAAAAAGAAAATTACACGTACAGGTGTCTGAAGCTGAAGATTGACTTGGAAAGAAGGTTCTCTGGACCTTGATAAATGAAAACTAGGTTTAGTAAACATGTGTTACTAAAACTAGGTTTAGTAAACATGGGTGAAACATGGGTGAATTTTTCCATGTTTGCACCACTTAAACCATCTGAACAGATTTGGAATCTCCCATTTATGTTTCACGGCCAATCCCCGTTAAAGCCTTTTAGAGTTTATGCTAACAAAAAAAAATTATATTGGATATTCTGTTCTGCAATTGTTTTACTGCAGCAAAAGGATAACATGAGTATCGTACGGGGGTTTTGTCTGGGAGTCAAGTTGAAAATGCCCATCTCTGCAAAAGGCATGCCATTGAGAGAGATAGAACTGGAATTGTCTTTGTGAAGATGCCAAACACAAACACACACAATGGATAAACACGGCAGGCAAAGTTGACAATGTTTGAAGGATTGATGAATGACAAAGGTGGAGTGAACAGCATAAATGCTTGGTGGAAAGCCACAACAAGGATGGGAAGAAATATCAGTGGATGGTCTCTCCCAAAGCTGTGGAGTTGGGAGTGCAATATCACAACCAGGGATGGGTAATCTCTGGTAACACTGGACCAAATCTTCTTCATCTCCGGGGTCCAGGTTTACTGCCAAAACAAGGCATACAGTCCAATCACACGACTGCTCAGAAGTAACCCAAGTAGCTTGCATCACTTTTGGAACCATCTGACCTAAAGATACATCTACAGGAAAATAGTTACATGGAATACAACAGATAGGTCTACATAATACATATATTGGAAACGAAATAGTCCCTGCTGTTCTTCCTTCTCCCTGCCAGCCAACTCCAACAGAATTTTCTATCATGAAGCAAACTGGCAATTTCTTTTAGCCTGAGAGGTGGCTTTGGCCACTGGAAAAGGGGGGAAGGAAAGGCAGTTGGATCCCATTTCTTCACTGGATCAACAGCTCAAGGCAAAATGGTATTCCCACCGCGCAGATCCTGCACCTTCTGATGCTCTGATCCTAACTTGTGGAGACTTTGATGCTCTCTGAGCTTAACTGCTTCCTTGCAGTTTTATGACCCAACCAGCCAACATCACCAGTGCTTGAAGGGAGTGGAGACTGTGGAGAGGAGGAGGTGGAGGTGGAGGAGGAGGAGGAGGAGGAGAAGGAGAAGGAGAAGGAGAAGAAGGAGAAGGAGACAACTGGACAGCCACTTGTCTGAAATGGTATAGGGCAGGGGTAGGCAACCTTGGCTCTTTTATGACTCGTGGACTTCAATTCCCAGAATTCCTGAGCCAGCCATGCTGGCTCAGGAATTCTGGAAGTCCACGAGTCATAAAAGAGCCAAGGTTGTCTACCCCTGGTATAGGGTCTTCTGCATGAGCAAGGAGTTGGACTAGAAAACCTCCTTTCTTGTTACCTCGCTGGGTCATGAAACATCTGCAAGAAAACCACCAAGCTCAGTAACCACCCCAAAGTTCAACCTTCAGCTACAAATATTCTTTTCTATCGCTATCATATCTTATTCTTGGAGGCCTTATTCTTCAGTCTACCTCCATCGGTGTCCTTTAATTCGTGGATTCCTTCTACAGTCTCCAGAGGCCAATACTGCGATGCTTGAGCCAGAACACGGAAGCCTGTCAAGAAAGGACAGCAGGACCAAGGTCATCCCCTTTGTGAAAAACTCAAACAATTGCCAGCTATTTCTTTATTTATCTTCCCCTCCCTTCTGCTTCGATTTGCTTTTGCTTCTCTTGAGTTAAATTTCAAATTGAAAAATGCCAGGGACGTGGACCTGAAGATGGGACAACGTGCCCTCAATTCCTCCATTTCTAACTCTGATAAGATCGCTTGATGTATATTTTTTTGAGAAGATTCTAAGCATCACCTACCCCACCCAACAAATTATTGAAATTCTTTGGCCTTTCAAAGACCCATTTCATCATGGGGAGGGGGGATTGACAATTCAAGTTGGAGACTCTGGAAAGAGTGTAGAAAAGAGCGACAAAGATGATTAGGGGCCTGGAGACTAAAACATATGAAGAACGGTTGCAGGAATTGCGTATGTCTAGTTTAACAAAAAGAAGGACTACAGATGACATGATAGCAGTCTTCCATTATTTGAGGGGCTGCCACAAAAAAGAGGGGAACAACCTAGTCTCCCAAACATCAGAAGGCAGGACAAGAAGCAATGGATGGAAACAACTCAAGGAGAGAACCGAGAACTAAGGAGAAACATTCTAACAGTGAGAACAATTAACTAGTGGAATGGCTTGCCTCCAAAAGTTGTGGGTGCTCCATCACAGGAGGCTTTTAAGAAGAGACTCGACAGCCACTTGTCTGGAATGGTATAGGGTCTCCTGCTTGAGCAGGGGGGTTGGACTAGATGACCTCCATGGCCCCTTCCAACTCTGTTATTCTGTATCCTTCTATGAAAAGGTCTTCTGAAGATTGACCTTTTTTGAGTCAAGTAGGTAAGGACTGAACATGGGGACTTTGCCACACGAGGCAAAACTGATGAACTTCAGATCTTCCCTGTCTCCTTCTGCTCTGCCACCAAGTTACTACTCAGCAACTACTCCTTCAGCACAGGAAGAATGCAACCTTAAGAAGCAGAGATCATACAAGCAGTAGCTGTGAAAGCTAAGGATGGCTTTAATGCTTCCTTGTGCAGTATAAAACACTCAAGCACACAAGTGTTAAATCAACACGTGTGGTAGAAATCTTGAGCTGGTAAAGAGAAGCAGAAAATAATATATCTTGGTTCTCAGGTGTTCAGCGAGAAACCGTGAGTGGTTAGAAGGACAGAATACACTGCTATAAGAAACAAGGAGGGCTGTAGCACCCATTATGCCCAACCATTGAACATCCTGGTTGGGGCTAATAGGAATCAAGAGTCCAGTAACATCCAGATCACTGCCGGTTCCTCGACTTTGCTTAAAAACAGCGGGCTTCGTGCAATGAATATTTTTAGCCTCAGAAGCCTGCTCCTAAAACAATCCAGATTTGTAATAGATTCTCCTTAAATCTGGGCTTTATTGCTGGCTCACTTCCTGGCAACTCAGAAAGGGAGTGTGGACAGAGATAGAAAGGGTTGCCAAAATACAGTTGTGGATTAAAAAGTTTAAAAGAAGAAGACCTTGTAAGCAACAATGGTGCAATAAAAGTGTGCTGCCAAAACATTCCAGAAATCTTGTAAAAATGCAAGTCTCCAGTTCATTTTTTTCCCTCTGATGAGTGGACCCCTCCCTGTGATTTATGGAGGCTGGTGCCTATGAGATAGGACTAAGATGCTCTTTCAATTAAAATAAGTGTAGGGACCGTTAGTTTCTCCACTTTAGAATTAAAAACAAAGCTAGCTATATGCTTAGGAAGGGAGTAAAATAACAGAACAACAAAGTTGGAAGGGACCTTGGAGGTCTTCTAGTCCAACCTCCTGCTCAAGCAGCAGACCCTAGACCATTCCAGACAAATGTCTGTCCAGTCTCTTCTTAAAAACCTCCACCTACAACTTCTGGAGGCAGGTTGTTCCACTGATTAATTGTTCTCACTGTTAGGAAGTTTCTCTTTAGTTCTAGGTTGCTTCTCTCCTTGATTAGTTTTCATCCGTTGCTTCTTGTCCTGCCTTCAGGCGCTTTGGAGAATAGCTTGACTCCCTCTTCTTTGGGGCAGCCCCTCAAATATTGGAAGACTGCTATCATGTCCCCCCTCGTCCTTCTCTTCATTAAACGAGACATACCCAATTCCTGTAACTATTCTTCATACGTTTTAGCCTCCGGTCCCCTAAAAGCTACTTCAACTTCTTGAAAGCGCTTATCATAAAAAAAAAAAAGTCATTCTTGGTTCAGGGAATGAGGGAATTGAATGAGAAAATTCAATGTTACTGAACTCTAACATCATCTGATCTCAAAATTAAGGAAGTCACGTTGCCAGAAGGTTGAGCTGGCCCCAAAGTAAATCATTTTTATAAGCCTACATTCCCTTTTGTTTAAAATGAAACCGAGATAACAACAACAACAAAAAAAGCAGATGTTCAGACAAGTCAGTTTAAAGCTGCATTTGAAAGAAAAAGCCTGTAAAATTTAGCGTTGCAATTTAGCAATCCAGAATGAAAAATTTAAAAATAACTCCACGATGGCGATTGACAGAATTGTTTGGCCAGGCACCAAAGGTGGATCTCATGAGAGACAGAAAAGAAACACTTCGGCCACACCTGAAAAGTTACCAGCTCGCCATTCCTGCTTTAAAATTAATTCTAGGATCTGTTTGCTAGCATTAATGGTTCCTTCGTTTGTCTTGGGCTAGGACGATCTCAAGCCGCTTAATCTGTCAAGCGTCCAACTTCACAAAGTTGCCCAACATACACTGTGTTTGTGTAGAGAGTTGAACTCACAGCTCCCAGTAGATTAGCACTGCCAGTACACCCCTATTCTTTGAGAACTATCTTGTGAACCCCCATAATCCTACCACTTTGACTCACAAGCCCTACATACCAAGTCCCTGATTTGGTGAGACCCAACCTGTGTTGACATCCCAGGCAATGCAACCTTCCATTTCTTGTTGCCTTTGAGGTTCTTCAGCAATATATCTAAGCATGCTTTGGGGGGAGACGGAGAAGACAGGGACAGGACAAAGGGGAATGCAGCAATCATAAAGGTTTTCAAAGTTTCGAGATAGCAAAGTTCCTTACCAGGATGTTTTTGTAGCCAAGTGTGAGTCCTGTAAACCTGTAGGTTGAAAAAAAAATAGAGAGAGATACGTCAGTAGGATTCAGAGCAGCAAACGTTTCCAAAGAAAAGAAGAAAGGTTAAAAATTAAAAAATAAAACACCGCAGGGTTTTTTTGAGACCATTACCTGAAATAAAATCCACAAAAAGAGATAAGAAAGTTTCACCAGCCAATTTTCCATGATCCCTTTATCTCGTTGCGCGCCAGGAAAGCGACAGGATGATAAAAAAATCTCAGGTCACAGTAGTCATAATATCATTAATAATAAAACTTCCAGTTCTCCGTTGCCATCTGGTCTTCTTTCTTTTCTTTTCTTTTTTTAAAAAAAGGGTGTTTTCTAATCATCCGTACAATAAGCCCATTCCGTCGACTGGTTTGTGGGAAAGGGGGGGGGAAAGGGAAAAAAATCCAGCTCTTCCTTGAGGGTCTAAGAATTAAAGTTTCAAAAGGTGGAGTCCTCCTTCCGTGGCCGATAAATCCATTCCAGGGCAAAAGAAAAAAGAAAAGAAAAGAGGAATAGTGAATAATGAAGGGGGGAAAAAAGTGAATAAACTTGGGACGATTGCAGAGGCAAGCTCCCCTTCTCCACCTTTTGCTAACAGCTTTTTAGATTTGTCTTCATTTGATCAGATGTCACTGGGTGGAAATGGAATTTGGCTTACTTTAACAACAACAAAAAAGAGAGAGAGAGAGAGAAAAAAGAAAGTGCCTCGGAGAGTAAAGATTTTAAATAGTTCTTCTTTGGGGCAAAGAGTGGGAGGGCTTTTGTGGAGAGAGGCTGTTCGTTCTTAGGAAGGAAAAAAAAAACTGACCGTCTCAGGGATACACACCTCTGCCCCCGTCCCGATGGAGCGTAGAGCAAAATCGAAGTGATGTCATACTTTCTCCTCAAACTTTGTCCCATTTGGATAGTCTATTTATATCACATTACCAACAAGTGGCTTCCTCTTCTGGGTCCTAGTCCCAGTCAGTTAGGAAGGACGAGATTCAGAAGATGGGAAGATAGCCAGGGAAGAAAAACAGAGACACTGAGAGAAGGAATCACGAGAAAGGTTTAAGGTTTATACGCTGGTGGCTTAGAGGTGAGGTGATGTCCTTTTTTTTGATACCGAAAAAGATGCTGAGACTCTAGAAAGAGCGCGGAGGAGAGCAACAAAGATGATTTGGGGGCTGGAGGCTAAAAACGTAACAATGAATAGTGGTGGGAACAGGGAGTGTCTAATCCAGGGGTAGGAAACCTGGGCTCTTTTATGACTCGTGGACTTCAACTCCCATGCTGGCTCAGGAATTCTGGGAGTTGAAGTCCACGAGTCATAAAAGAGCCAAGGTTGCCTACCCCTGGTCTAATCTAATGAAGAGAAGGACCAGGGGTGACACGGTAGTCGTCTTCCAATCCTTGGAGGGGCTGTCACCAAGAAGAGATGGTCAATTTATTCTCAAAAGCACTTGAGGCCATGACAAGAAGCAATGGGTGGAAATTCAACCTAGAACTTAGAAGAAATTTCCTGACAGTGAGAACAATTAATCAGTGGGATGGCTTGCCTCCAGAAGTTGTCGGTGATCCAACACTGAAGGTTTTCAAGGAGGAATTGGACAATCATGGTGTAGGACAGTGATGGCGAAACTTTTAGAGACTGAGTGCCCAAACTACAACCCCAAACCCACTTATTTATCCCCAGGTGCCAGGTGGGCGTGGCCCACTGGGTGAGCGTGGCTGTGGTGGTCATGGCAGACTGGGTGGGTGTGGTCAAGGTGGGCGTCATCACCTCGATGTTGCTCATGGGGAGGGATGCCTGTGGGGGCCGGGCAGGGTTCGGGGAGATCCAGGGGGTCTCTGGCAGGTGGGGCAGTGGGCAGGAGGCTCGTCCTGTGGGGTGAGGTGAGGCAGGGGCCGGGGCGGCTACTGCCTGACACCATTGGCCCCCGCGCATGGGGGCCAACAATGTCCATCAGCAGCCACAGCCTCCCGGCCCCTTGACTGGCACATTCTGGGGCTCCCCAGCCCACCACCAGAAGTTCAGAGAAGCCGCCTCTGAGCTGGACAGACGGCCGACAGCTGAGGAGCCAATGCAGTGGGTTGTGCCCGGGAAAAGGAGAGCATGCGAGGCCAGGAGGGATGGGACAGGGGGAAGGGAAACCAGCCATGCTGAGATGCATCCGGCCACGTGGGACCTCGGCGAGTTAGCGGGCGGCTGGTTGAAGAGGGACGGTTGCCATCTCTGGGGCATGGCTCGTGTGCCCATGGAGAGGGCTCCGAGTGCCGCCTCTGGCACGCGTGCCATAGGTTCGCCACCACTGGTGCAGGATCTCCTGCTTAAAAACCTCCAGTGATGGAGCACCCGCAACTTAAATCTGCAGGTTTTCTGCTGTAAATAATCCAGACATCCCTACTAGCTGAAAAGCAGCATTGTCCCCAGTTTCTTGATTTGCATTAGGAGAATGCCCTTGAAGTTTCATGATCCAGACGTGCATATTGTACATAAGTTCGGCGTTTGTTATCTGAACAATCCAAGCTATGTCTGCTTCATTAGTTGCTCAAGTTCACCATCCTCAGGCAGAACTATGAAAATACAGATTAAGGAAGTGCGGGGGGGGGGGGTGAGCAGACCCAGAATAGAAGTTTATTTTGCTTTCATGATCCGGACAGAAAACCTAAGGAGTATTCAGAAGCAAGCAGTGACAGGAAGTTGCTAAACTGATGGACAGTGCAGGGATGATTAGTGGTGAGTAGAAATCGCCATTAACACTTGGAATCTTCCACACACAAAGAATGTTTTCATCCTGGCTGCAAGAAAGCCGATGCAACATATTTCAATATGGAATGTTTGACAGCAACGCTCAGAAACGTGGAGCATTTTTCTAAAAGGGTAGCTTGTTTTCAGGTGCAAGAAAGCAGATCCAAGGTGCACGGACTACTTTAAGGTGAACAAATGTGGATTGGAGAAGCAGAGAAGCGGAACAGCTTTGCCTCCAGGAATCGTGGGCGCTCCATCACTGGAGGATTTTAAGAAGAGACTGGACAGTGACTTGTTTGAGACGGTGTAGGCTCTCCTGCTTGAGCAGGGGGCTGGACTAGAAGACCTCCAAGGTCCCTTCCAGCTCTATTCTATTCTACGTTCCCTGAGGATGGACTTCAGCACCAGTCTGAAAGTTCGGAAAGCAAAAATCTCTGGTTCCAGGGACCAACCGAGATTGGATCCTGCATTAGAGAGCCAGTTTGGTGTAGTGGTTAAAGCAGCAGGCTAGAAACTGGGTGGCTGTGAATTCTAGTCCTGTTTTGGACCAGTCCTTCTCTCTCAGTCTTAGGAAGAAGGAAGCCAGGGCAAGCCACTTCCAAAAAACCTTGCGAAGGAAAAACTGCTAGGAGTTGTGTAAGTGGTCACTAAGAATCAACACTGAGTCGAAAGAACCGACCCCCCCCCAAAAAAATAAACCAATGCATTAATCTGGCCCAGCTGGAAGACGTAAGGACTCCTTTTTTGGTCAGGGGGTTGGACTAGAAGACCTCCAAGGTCCCTTCCAGCTCTTTGATTGTACGATTCAAAGTTTCATGGGCTTGGTGGCTCATCCTGAATATGCAACTTGCAAACAAGCATGCCAACGTTAAAATAAACACGTCCAAGTGATCTGTCTTGCTTTCCTTCCCCGCATCTATAATATTTATTTATTTACTTATTTTTCCCCCGAAGCTAGCAGCAAGCACTTGAGGTTTTCGTTGCAGTAATTATCACACAACGACAACTTCGGACATTTATAATTAAGGGAAACGTTTTCTACGATGACAAACGCCGGCCCGTTACAGAGCTCACACTGATGGCTTCATCTTCTGCACCTTTCCAAAAACCCTTTGCCCTGAAGCCCACCGAGGTGAAAAGAACAAGGTGGAAACTTAGAAGAAAAATCTAGTAAATTGCATTAGAAATTCAGTTCCAGTACGCTGATTTGAAGGACTGAAAAAAAGGGATGGAGGGATGGGAACAGCCCATAACAATGTTCCGTGGATTGATGGAAATAAATATGAAATAAACGGAGCAACATCATCGGCGCGTTTGATGCCAAAGTGGGGACCGTGCACCAAATAACTAAATGCGGTTTCAGGAGTAAATTCTTACAGTGAGTACAAGTAGTCCTCCACTTACAACAGGTCATTTAGTGACTGTTCAAAGCTACAACAGCAATGGAAAAAGGGAGCGTTTTTCACACTTACAATCACGGCAGCCTCCCCACAGGGATCAAAATCCAGACGCTTGGCAACTGACTCACATTTATGACGGTTGCAGCGTCCCCGGGGTCACGTGATCCCCTTTTGTGACCGTCTGACAAGCAAAATCCATGGGGAAGAAGCCAGATTCACTTCACAACCTTGTGATTCTCTTACTAACTGCCGTGATTCTCTTACTAACTGCGGCAAGAAAGGTCGTAAAAATGGGGCAAAATTCACTTAGCAACTGTTTCGTTTAGCAACAGAAACATTGGGCTGAACTGTGATCAAAAGTCAAGGACTACCCATAATAGTTCGCATTGCCCTCGGTTCCTAGTGCGTCTTTGCAGCTGAATTTCACCCATCTTTCAAGTTTGAAAAAACGCTGCGAGAGAAGATTGACAATATCTTGTGAAGCTTTACAGTCTAGGGTTTCAGAAGCCTTTTTGGGATGATCCATCAGAAATGTCCTTGTGGTTCCAAGAAAATCTGAGCTTTTCCACCCTCCAAAGAACCGTAGAGCAGAAATGAGCAATCATGGATCACACGAGGTTTATGCAACGAAGCTTAGTAACTCCTAGAGACTTTGGCCACACCCTGTGCAATTACAGAGAGAAAGTGACAGGCGTGGTGAGTGGGGTTTCCTCATTATTTCCAAGAAAAGAAACGCAGGAAACAAAACCATGTTTGCTGTGTCAAGATTCTCTAGAGCACACCACTCCCGTTAGCCTTTTCATCCACATCACAATATGTCATCAGCCTCTGAAGGGACATGGAGACACTGAGAACCAGACAAAGATGGGTGGTTTTTTTTTTAGGATATGTATTCTACCATTCTACCAGAGACTGGACAGCCATTTGTCTGAAATGGTATAGGGTTTCCTGCCTGAGCAGTGGGTTATTATTATTATTATTATTAATTGTATTTATATCCCGCCCTTCTCCTTTCGGACTCAGGGCGGCTGACAAATGATAAAAAG